CCTACTGTGCTCAGTGTCTAAGTGAGATGCCTCAGGGTGGAGGACTTGCTTGCCACCTTCAGGAAGCATGAGGTGCTGCAGAATTCAAGTCAATTGGAAATGTACTTAGAGGAGGGGCTTCAGGGCAGGGGTCATCAAAGTTATGTGTGCTGCAAACGTCCCTGCATTTTCCTGAGGAGAGGTCCCTCTGTATCTGTCAGGATTCCCTGGCCAGAAGGATTAGGACTCCTGCTCTAGACTGTACACAGTGGACCCGAATGCAAGCCATTCCTCTCAGAATGAGCGGGTGATTCACAGATCCCATTCTTCTGGCTCTCCAGCACGTTCTGAGCAGTTGCCCCTGTGGCTGAAGAACCCAGCACCCAGGTGTACTTATCCTCCCAACTTCCACCCCAGGGGATAATTAAGCCTCCTTTGCCCCCAAGCTGGCTGGAAATAACACCTCCAACAGGGCTCTGCCTCATCTTCCAGTGAGGAGCCCAGCAGAGCTGTCACCAGGGAAAGGTTCCTGCAGGCAGATGGCTTCCTTGAACTTGAATTATTTATGGGCTGTTGTCAAGAAGCCATAGGGATCCATTGACAGGGGAAGAGAGTAATTTTCCATCTGTTCTCTCAAAAACTCATTTCCGCCCAAATGAGGAGATTTAATCAGAGGTCTTTCCCTCTGCCTGTGCTAATCCCAAATCTCAGACCTTCTTCCTGCTAATAGAACTGGGGGAAGAGGATCCTGGGAATAGGAAAAAAACTCTCTAAAAATGAAACTTCCTTCTCAAAAGGACTAGAGGGTGGAGTTAGGGTTCCATTCTGCCAAGTGATCATGAAGCCATTTATCTTTTTCTTGCACTCAGCTATTCTCCTCTGCAGAAGGATACCCCAGGTTTCCGGGGAAGCCTCCTCTTCCTTTTTCAGGGAGAAGCAGGGACCTGAGCCCACTTTGCTGAGTGAAGGGCCAGTCAGGTCTCTGGGAACCAAGCTTTGGGTTAATGACTTTTGAATACTTCCTGTGTGCCCCTTCCTGTGCTGAATACTAGACAGATCCCCACTTCCCTTTGAAAAACCCATACCATAGCAGAGGAGGCCAAAAAAGAAGTTTCATAACAATGTGAAATGTAAAGTCACTGAACTGTGCTCTTAAAATTGGTTTAAGTGATGAACTATATTTTAGTAGAATGAAAAAAAAAATCTGATCATGGTATACTCCTCTCCATCCGTCTCCCCAACTAGAATGCTCCAGCGGCATTTCATTGTCCTGAGAATAATGACTGAAATACCTAACACAGCTTACATGGTCCAGCGTGATCTAGCTCCTGGTCAGCTCACCAGAGGAATTTCTCTCTACCCTCTCCCCTCTAGCTGCACACATTCTTTCCTTTGTCTTCAGGGTCAGCTCCCCTTGCTCAGCCTCCTCACCTTTTAGGTCTCAGTGTAAATTCCATTGCCACTCCCACTCAGGATGAGCTTCCTGAAGGCAGAGACTACTCAGCTGGCTGTGGTTAGACGGGTCTGGGAGCCTCTGCCTAACAGGGCCTGAGGCCAGAGCTGGAAGGTTCCTATGGAACAGCCTTGCCTCGGTGGCTGCCTGTCTGTCTCTCCATGTCCCAGAGAAGATATGAGTACAAGTTGTCTATGCCTGAGGCTCTGTCCTAAGTCTGTGTGTGTGTGTGTGTGTGTGAGAGAGAGAGAGAGAGAGACAGAGAGAGACAGAGAGAGACAGAGACAGAGAGACAGAGAGAGACAGGATATATGTATGTGTGTGCATGCTGCGTGCGTAGGGCTCCCAGGCTCCTTCTCCCTCCTGCTTTACTGTCTCTGGTTCTCTGGAAGGGATATGTTTCTTTCCTCAACAGGCAGGGACAGCCAGAGATGGCCCCATTTGACTTCTGCAGCCAGGGCATCCAGCCCATCCCTCATTCCATGGCCTTCTCTCCTGGCTTTGAAAGAGTTCTGAGCGCAATATTCCAGGCAGCTCCTCCAAAGCATAATGTTAAATTATAGTTCCAAAGATGGTGTTTTCTTCTCTTTCCTTTCCTGACATATGTGTGCTACTGAGGCATCCATGGCTATGGATGCGCCCCCACCCCAGTGCCACAGCAGCACATTAACACATCATCTAGGTTGTGCCAGCAGAGACAGGACTCACAGAAGTGTGGTGTTCTGAGCCCTTTCTGCCCCCCCCGACCCCCATGTCCGGCTTGCCCAGGGTTGCCTGGACCACCTTCATGGACTCTGGTGCAGGTGGGCAGAAGGGAGTTGATGGGTCACACCGGCCAGGTCTGTTTCCATCTGTTCTTATTCTGTGGCCTGGCAGATCACCCCTCTGAGTTTCCATTTCTCCAGCAGCTGAATGAAAATTCCCACAGTACTGTCCTAGTTCAAAGCCTTGATGGCAGGAAGAGTAAAGACAGCTCAGTGGAGAAGGTCTTCTCTGGTGCACTGCTGAGCTGGCCTCCTGATTGGCCAGTGAGGCATTCTTTTCTCCCTGAAGGTGTGGAGGGGGAGAGAGGTATAGGCATTCTGGAAAGAGCTCTGGGCCCCAATACTGAGGATCTGTGCAGTCCTATATCCCAGAAGGCCCTGCAAGTCCCAGAAGGGCAACAAAGAGAAAAGAGAAGAAACAGGCCCTTGTTCCCTTCGTTCCTCTTTTTTCCCCCTTGATTAGGGCTCAGCAGTCAAGGCTCAGGGGAGGCCTTGGCAACTTTGTCCCACTTGGTTGGGCTGGGCTCTGGCTTTGGATTTCATGGGTGATTCTCTCTCCCAGTCACCCACTCCAGGAAAACCCAGTGGCTGACCCCTCAGACCTAAAAGTTCCTCCTCCAGATGGCAGCACCTGAATAATGCTTAGCCTGGGTCCCCGTGAGAAACTGTGTGTGTGTGTGTGTGTGTGTGTGTGTGTGTGTGTGTGTGTGTGTGTGTGAGAGAGAGAGAGAGAGAGAGAGAGAGAGGTGATGGGATGGGATGGGATGGGGGGCAGGCACCGATTAGGACTCAGAAAAAGGACCTGAATCCTCTTTGGCTAAAAGGGGAAGGTTGCAAGTGGTTTTCAGCCTCAGGACTCAACAGGAGAGTAACTTAGAGGCTCTCTTATTGGAAGGGCTGGGGCAAGGGCGGGGGTGGAGTGTCACAGGCAGATGGAGGAGAGAAGCAGGAAGGACCTTAAACATACATTTTAGGATTTGACATTTTTAAGAAATCATGTGGCGATTTCTATTTTAAATTTCAGGACCTTTAAAAGTTATGTTAGTTATCTCTTTGGATATGATGTTGTCTTGGTAAAGTCCAAGTGCATACATTTGGGTGCTCAAAGTGAAGCCTGGCTAGAGCATCCTAGAATGAGCAAGGCGGTCAGGGCACCCCTAGCCTGGTTGACTCCTGGAAGGTGGACTGAGCAGGGAAGAGCTGTGGGGAAGCAGAGGGCCTGGGTGCACACACTGTGCTGAATCTCGCCTCTCGGGACACCTCTTCCCTGAATTCCCCCTTAGCTGACCTTCCCCTCCAGCTAGCTCTTTCATCTCCTCTCAACTTCTCCCGCTTCAGGCTGCTCCCAGGTATTCCTTCCTCTGGCCTCCCTTTCCCCAGATTCTTGCATTATCTTTCACAGAACTGCAGTGCTGTGCATTAGAGTCCCCATGTATGTACAGTCCATAATTAGCTGATTAATGAATCTTTTCCCATCCATAGGGAAGCTTCATGAGAACAAGAATATGTCAGTTTCCCAGGGCATAAAACATGGGGGTACATATAGGTGGTCATCAACAAATTATTGTATAATGACTGGATGAGTGATTTTTAAGGACTTTAGTGATACCATGCTTGTCCTTCCTTAGACTTGAATCTATGTGAAGAAAGAACCCTACCTTTTCCCTCGCTCTAGTCCCAGCAGTGATGGACTGGGTGGCATTATACTATACACATCACTGTGTCACTGGGTCCAAGTAGTGGAGCGAATCAGCCTTGGCAGAGTGAGGTGTAGGTGGCAGGACTGTGCAGTCATTCCTCTAGGACAGTGAGCTGCCTTTGTGAAAGGCACATGCCAAAGCTCGCAGCTACCCAGATTCTAAACATCCCAGACACCATGGTAATATTAAGGACATCTGATGTATCTGGCATTCTGTAGGGACCACTTATTTCATGAGATGAACTGAGGATTCAGAAAAAAAGCAGATGCGACACTCATTTTCCTTACAAAGGAGGAGGCCCTGAGAGGTTAAGCAACTACCCAAAGGCACACAGGTAGGAGTAATGCCACCACAGCTACATAGTCCTGCCTTCCAGAGTGCTGAGGATGGTCTATTCAGCACACATTCAAGCAGTGGAGGGATTTGAACATGGTTTGGCCCAGAGGGTAGGACCAGGAAGTATGGACTTGCTCTTTGGTCACATGGTGGTCTCTGGGAGCCAGCAGGCTGGGGTATCAGCTCCTTCTCCTGAGCTTCTGTCTTTTCATCTGTGTAATGGGACTGCGCAGGCAGCCACTTCACAGTGTGGGGCTGAGGGGTCAAATGTCCAACACAAAGGCAGGGAATCATAATGCTGGAGGAAGATGCTTTGGAGTAAAAATAGGAGTAAAGAGCACTGAAGACTCAAAACCTCAGGGCTATGGAGGTTAAAATGAAAATGAGTTTAGCCGGTTGTGGTGGCACATGCCTATGATCCCTGCACTCCAGAGGGAGGCTGAGACAAGAGGATCACTGCAAGTTTGAGACCAGCCTGGGCTACATAGTGAGTTCAAGGCCAGCCTGAACTACATAGTGAGGCTCTGTCTCAAAAAAAAAAAGAAAAGAAAGGAAAAAGGAAATGAGTTCATCAAAAGCTTGGGTTCTAACCCTATGGGCTATCTGGGGATCTGAGGGCTAGCTGCTGGACCATCTCGAACACCGTCCTTTACGGCTCTTTGCTGAGCTTCTCCTGGGTGGAGCTGAGTGTGAGGGAGCTCGGCAGCCCCGGGGAACAGAACCCATCCCTGACACCAGGCCAGCACATGAGCCTGTCCACACTCCGCATACCTTTCATTGGTTTTATTATTACAAACACACCATGTCTGTGTCATATTCAGGAAATCTGGGCTCTACATGCCCTATATACCCTTTCTTTTCTACCTACACAGGGCCACAAAGAAGTGTCCAAGCCACACATAGATGCAAGACAGTTGACAGAAACGGTTCAACTCATAGCTTATAATAGTGCCATTTCTCCAGCTGTTCAAGAGCTTTACAAACCATGCCAGGACTTCCCAGAGTGCTGGATCACTTGATTCATGTTCTGTTAACTCCACAATGCTGCAGCTCCCTCTTCCAGGCACTCACATAAGCAGGAAATTCCAGGTTTGGGATAGGTCCTTTCTGGAAGTGAATGTCAGGTAGTGACATCCAGATCTCTGCATGCAGTGGGTTAACAACCAGGTTTACAGAGAACAAAAAATAACAAATAAAAAGCACATCTCTCTCTCCCATCCTCCCACCCACCTGAGGCTCAGGTCTCATTATGGTGCGGCCCACATATACTGAAGTGTGACAATTTGTTTCAAAACATTCAAATAGTCTCTTTGGCAAACTGACAGAAACTGTAGGAAGCTGCTGAGGTGCTTTCCTCCTGTGGTCCTCGGTGCTAATGCTTCATTCTCTCTAATAACCTCTGATAGACAGGGGCTGAAAAAGAGAAGTTGGAATGGTGAATAAGGTGTGGCCTTTTCCATGTCTATCTGAGACACTGTCAGAGTCTTGAGAACGGGGCCTCCTTCTGCCATGCTTCCCTGCACAGAGCAGGTGCTTTTTGGTTTGTCAAACTTCACCTCTTACTCAATGACTGATGTTCCGAGGCTTGCTCTATCTACCAGTTTGCAATCATATCCTCACCATGGACTCTTTCCAAGCCCTGGGCAGTATTTCCAGCCTCCCAATGCCAAAACTCACTTATCTTCATTGTAAGAGAAGGAAAATGTGTTCTCTACATCTGATCCCAATTCACCCCATTGGTCTGACCCCGAAGGCCAGGCTTGTTTCATTGTACCATAACCTTCTATATACAACAGACGGAGGGTTTGGGTCTGCTGGGGTTGGGCATGGTGGCGCGAGGTGGCAGCCCAAACAGGACTGCAGGGACTGCAAACCCAGACCAGACTTACCTAGTCTCACAGATCTCTGGGAAGCCTGAAAGAAAACACAAGGCGTCAAGTTTCCTAATGAAAATTATACCTTCACATGTTTATGGAGTAGCTTTGCCCATTGCTGCCCTTACTTAGAAATGCTCGAGTAAAGAAGAAGAAGGGGAAAACAGAACTGATGGACCTCAGAGAACCCCTCAGTTGGCCTCCACAGGCCTACCTACTCTGTTCAAGACCCTCTAAGTGGAGTCTGAGTTGGGTATTCCCAGGAGACCTCCCTGCCATGTGCTTCTATGGAGACCAGAGCCCACAGTTTGGGGGGTGGGGCTGCATAGAAGTGGCTCCTAGGAGTAGGAGCTCAGGCACTACGCTCCTCTTGAGGCTACAGGGAGACCCTCCTGTTCAAAAGCAAAGTGACAGGCTAGAGCTCCACCTCTGGGGTCAGGAATGTGCCCTGCAGCCTCTTCTTTTGAAACACAAACTTCTGAAGGTGCCCCACATTTTCATGGGTTCTACCTGGCCCAAAGCAGCAAAGGAGCTTATGTCCTGGGCTACCTGGGGAGCAGGAAGAGAAACTCAGAAGGAGGCAAGGAGGTTCTAAGAGGGAAGCCGGGCTATGGCCAGCGAGGGTGGCTCCACACACAAAACTGGGTTAGTAGCCCTATGTCCAGGATCCACACTGCCCAGGAGAGCCCAGCATCACCCAGGATGGGCAGTGCCATGGAAAATGAAAGAACACTCAGAGGTCCAGGCACAGGGCTGGGCAGGCTGCTGGAAGACAAGCTCAGGATGGGCTGCCTCTTGGCCAGATGTGATCCAGAGCTATCCTCCCCAACAGTGGGCTCCTGGTGGTCTGTGGCTCAGCGGCCTCTGTCTAAAGCCCTGGGTTTTAGCCCACAAAGGAAGTTGGAGCTGAATTCTCTGAATTCCACACATGCTAGGACTGAGGATGTCCCAGTGGGAAGGGGAGCAGTCTCAAGAGAGCCCAGAGAAAGCAGCCAAGGGAGACAGGGGCCTGAGAGCCCCTCCATGAGCCCAAGCAGAGGCTTAGGGCTGCTCTAGCTAAGCACAAACCTAGCAGGTATCTTACCTTGGAGAACACTGATGCCTGTTTGAAGATTTCAAGAGCAGAGTCTGCCAGCTCATCTCCTCGTTCCTGAGGTCTGTTGGCTGGAAAGGAAAGAGAGGACAGCTTTGGTAAGAGGGCCATTAGCATGGCATTCCCAGCAGCCATGAGAGGCACTGTTGAACTTTCAGGCTCACATTTCCAAATGAATTTTTCCCCTGTAACTTTTTTTTTTTTTGGTACCAGGGATTGAACTCAGGTCCTTCTGCTTGCGAGGCAGGTGGCAGAACCACTGAGCTAAATCCCCAGCACCCTCCCCTGTAACTTTTAATAATTCCTGGCAGATTTTGGCCCCCAGAGAGAGAGCTCAATGAAAGGTGAATGCACAAGTGAGAAGAGGAAGAACTGAAGTTCAACTGTGCTGGGAGTGAAGAGACACTGTAAGAAGGGTGCTGGGAACTCATGGCATGCACATAACAACCGGCCCGTGAGTGTGTGTGTGTGTGTGTGTGTGTGTGTATGTGTGTGTAGGTTCAGACAGCGGACAATTCACCAAGAAGAAATGTGTCCTCAAGTTCCTTACTGTGGTTCCCAGTCCCCCTCTCAGTCATAGGGAGGTGTCTACATAAGCACTGTGTGAATGTCACAATGTAACATTATTCTGATCTTTATTTAGAACAGTTTTCTACTAAACACCAATGGCCACAAGGACCAGTGGCACAGTGAGCCGGGCTATGATCTGCCAACCTACCTGGGGGCTGCAGAACACTGGTGATGGCGTAGACCACACCATTCGTGGCCATGATGTCGGTTTCAGCAACAGGCTCCTTATTGACACTCACTACATTGTTTTTCTAAGAGAAAATGCGGTAACAATTGTTAGACACGGAGCATGGCTCCCTATCTGTTTATTTAGCAAGCACGGCTGTGCTGAGTCCTGCGTACGTACTGTGGACAGTCTGCTGAGTGAAACAGTCCCTGCTCTCTGCAGACCTTCAGTCCCTTGTATGGATGCAGCACACTGCGATTTAAAAATGCTTTTCTGTGTTTATCCACTTAGTCCAAGGAATGTTGACATTATTGTCCCAATTAACAGAAGTGAGGATTGAGACTCAAGAGAGCCAAAGTGCCTTTTAAAAAGCTCTATAGGTGGAACAGCTGAGCACAGAAGACAGGCCTTCAACTCTAGCCAAAAGTTCTCTTCACTTTTCCTAGATGCCCAGCTTAATATTTTTTTCATAGGAGTTCCACCCCAGGGTAAATCTATCTTAGACTTTCCAGAACACGCCATGTACTTGGGACAGAAGGACCCCAACACCTCAAACTAGGTGCTGGGAAATTAGTAGCTGACCCACAAGAGTCAATGAAGTCGCTTCCATTCCCACCTCCCTGCATGTTGTCCCAAGAAACACTGGTGAGCAAGGGATGCTGAAGATCAGGAGAGAGGAGCAGGGAGCCATGGCCGTCATACACTGAAGAGTGGCCCCTCCATGGGGAGGTCAGTGACCACTGTCCAGGCAGCCAAGGGGATTCTCAGAGCTCCTTGGCTCATTTGCTGCTGGCTATATGTTCCCTCTCTTTCCAAGGCAGGTACGCTCTTAGCAAAGCTCCAAAGTAAACTAGCATCTCCAAAGTGCAGAGCAAGGAACGCTCAGAGAGCTGACAGTGGAACTGAGAAAGTCTGCTGAGATGGTCTGCTTCATGGTGGAGCTAATGAGGCCCTGGGTTTGAGGAGCCTCAGCATAGGGGATCTCTCTCAAGACACCTGAGCAACCAACTACTCTCTTCTAAAGCTCCTCTCCCAGATGCCAAAACTCCCCTGCAAATCTGGAAGTTTTTGGTCATGTCTAACTACAGTCTCACTTGATGCCCCCAAAGACTCTCAAACTGTACTTGGAAATTCAGGGTGCATCTTAAAATGTGTGTGTGTCTAGTGCTCTCCAAGGTGAGTTGAGCCCTGGAGCCCTGGTGGCAGGGCATGGCCAGCCTTTCATTTGCCAGCACACTCACCGAGCTAACTTCTAGCTTGTCTCCTTGGAGAGACTTCAGCCGTACCAGGGCCCCAATGCCTCCGCTAACCAGGATGTCATCACCAATATGGTATTTCAAAATGTTGGCAAGTTCCTTGGCATTTCCTGCAGGTTTGTGGGAAAAGAGGAGGCAGAGTTAATTCTGAGAGTAGTAATTGGCATGGTCAAGGAGGACCCATAGGAAAAAAGGCAAACAGTTACCCCTGAGATGGAGAACTTCCTGTTCAGTCAGTATGCATTCATTGGGCACCCACTCTATGCTCATCCTGTGACCCTTCATCTGCCTTATGGTCAACAGGCACAAGGAGCACATCTACGGCATGATCTGCTGCTGTGGCTAGTGGGCTCTCTGTGATGCTGAGCTCCCTGGCTGCTAAGGAGTTAATGCATACTCTCCTTTGGGTATGACTCATGTTTCCATGAGCTAAATATTTGCCTGGAAATCCAGGGACTTCTCCAGCACCAGCATCTGGGACATTTCATCATCAGTGTGGCTCCTGCCGGTTATAACAGTAGTGAAATATTTACACATTCTACCCTCAAATGCAATCTGTTTGAGACGGCTGTTTCCTGAAGGGAGAACTTAAAAGAATCAACAGCTGTGCTTTGAGGCTCCTCAGAGCCCATGAGTTCAGGGCTGAGGGGGTATTCCCTCTCAGCATCCCTCCTCGAACGTCTCTCAGCATTCCTTTCAGCCAGCATCAGCTTCTCCACCAACTGGGGAAGGCATCTGGCTGTTCATAAAGGTGTCCTGGCTTTCCCAAATTAAGAATGGGAGGCAGTTTCCAAGGTGGCCCATGGCCCTCTCACCTCTGATATTCCCATTGCCAGCCAATGGCTGATTTACCAGAGCTTATGGAGGGCTACTTCTAGCACCTTCAAACTGAGAGCAGAGGAAGTTTTAAAGCACTGTGGAGAGTTCATTTGGTTATTGATAAATCCACACTAGTGCCAGGGGACAGAGGCACTTGTATCAACTGATTTCCAAGCATCCACAAATGGGGCTGTGAGAGCTCCCCTCCCACAAAAATACGAATTACAGGTACCAAACCAGTCAGGACCCGAGTGCAGGGGCCCCCTCCTTTTCAGACCACCTGGACCACCCAGGCCACCCTCCATTCCCCAGGGTTCCTGGCTAACCTGCCCACAGGGCAGGGGATCTATATGGGGGACTTTCCCTGTGCCATTGCCTGGGTCTCACACAACTGGAAACAAGAAGGAAGCATGGCAGGCTCAGGCCACCTGGCAAACATTCCATTCTCACCAGCCTCAGAGAGGATGGAAAGTTTATGTTCAGAGTGAACTTTTCCCCTCTTCTCAGGAACAGACATCAGCCTTATAGATGCAGGCATTCATTTAGCAATAAAGAAAATTAAACAGAACACAAATTTAGCTCAGAGTTGAGTGCAACTTGAGCCTTCTATTCTCTCACAGGAAGGGAGGTATAAACAGCATGTACCTGGATGTTTGGCTAAGCTCCTTCCTGGTCCTCTTCCTCCTCCTCACACTCACTTTGCAGTGACATTGGAAGTGTCTCTTATGAGCATACATGAGAGCTGAACACTGTAACCTCCATCCTCCTCACTGTTACCATACTATGGATTGAGGACATGTGTCTAGCACTACATGGATTGATCTCACAGCACAAGGACTCTTGTCATCCTCATTTTTCCAATGAGAAAGCTGAGGCTCAGACAGGTGAAGAAGTTTGCTACAGGTCACTGAATTGGTGAATGAATGCTAGAGCGAGAAGTTAAATCTATTTTCAGGCAATCCAGGAGCCCAACTTTGTAACTACTACCTTGCCTCCTAAACATTCTCATCTAAATTTCTCAGGGCTGTAACTAACTTGATGGGAAGGCTTTTATCCCCAGGAACATTTAATACAGGTAAATGGCTTCATTATCATTCCTCTTGCATGTTACCAGTGGAAAACACACTTTCCTGACCTGGCTGCTGGCTGTCCACCTTCAATTCATGTCTTCCTGTGGCTGCCTGGTTTGGCGCCCCCTGGAGTTGACCTCAATGAACGCATAACCCTGGTCTCACACAGCTGTAATGAGTTGCCAGAAGGCCCAGCAGGCAACTGGCCTGTGGGAGGTATTATGGTTTATACCTGAAATGTGTCACAAGGCTTCTTGCACTCATAGGTGAGGCTTTCGGAAGATGAGTGGATGATGGGGGCTTACAGCTGACTTGCTGTTAGGAGGTGGCATCTGGTCAGAACAGGTGGATCACTGAGGATGTGGAAGGGTGTACCTACCTCCATTCCTCCTAACTTGATCTCTGCTTCCCCTCTGCCATGCCATGAGCTCTTTCTGCTCTGCCATTCCCCTCTGCCATGCTGGCCTTCCTTGGAACCAGCACACTAGGGACTGAAGCCTCTATAAACTGTGAGCCAAAATAAATCTCTCCTTTAATTTGCAGGAATTGGATATTGTGTTCCAGTGATGAGAGGGGTGCCAGGAAGCTTAGTGGCTTCTCTTGTCATGGTCCTGACAGTGGCTGAAAATGCTCCTGGCAGCTCTCTGTGCCCTTTGTCCAAGGGTCAACTTCTCCCTGGCTCCTGCCATCACCCCTACACCCAGGCCCAAGGGTAGCACGGCTTCCCATAAATGCCACCTTGTTATTACCCTTTGATGACTCCCTTAATCCTGCCCACACTTCTTCAAATAGTCTCATCATTAAGTCCCTTGAATCAACCTCTTGGCAAGGTACCAACTGTTTCTTGCTGGGGCACTGATGGATATGACTTTAGAAAAGTGGAAACATGTACGTAAGTTGGTCTTTACCCAAGAGTTTGTTCAGTTCTTCTGGTGGCATGGCTTGGAAGGCTTCATTTGTGGGAGCAAAGACTGTGTAGACTCCTTCTCGATTAAGGGTCTCTGTCAGCCCAGCAGACTGGATGGCAGCTACCAGCATGCTATGGATATACACACAGAAGATGTCACTTACCTGTGAGAAGGGGAGCAGAGCACATTATCTTCACATGCCTCATCATAAAGAGCAGTGGAGCCTAGACCACACCAATGCACACATCTTACTGGTTTTTGTATCCATATTATGCACAGAGGGAATGATTCTAGTTTGCATCTTTTCTCCACCCACTGTAAATGCTATGATCCATTAAATGGACAGAAGTTAGATCCCAGAGGAGGAGAAAGTGAGGAGAAAGGCAAGAGGTATGGCTGACTCAGAGATGGATGAGCCACTGGGCCCTGAGTATGTGATTCTGGAGACAACAGAGGGGATGTTTTCCTAGGTCCTTGTGCAGGTAGTTGAAATCAGTGATAGGAAAACACTGAAAACAACAGCACTCAGTGGTGAATAAGCAAGTCAGAAATACAGAACCGCAGAAAAACAAACTGATATGGGGACTTCAGTTGCCAGTTGGTAGATTCTGCACAGAGAGTGAGAGATTCATTGCACCCTCAAAACCATGTGTTCTTACTCCTGGGGGCCTTTACTATAAGCAGGTGATGTTTTTCTTGAGCATTAGTAATAAAAATGTATCCCTCTTGCCATGGATATAAGAATGACATTCCCAGGAGTAACACTTGTTCTCCATTTAAGATTTCAAAGCAACCCTCACTCCTACCCACCCCAAGCCTGGACAGGCACATCAGTGCACCGCTCATGTTAGGCAAGTCTCTGGGGAAGCGGAAGCTGGACAAAAAGCTGAGGTCCACCATGCTGCCCAGTATGAGCACTTGGCAGAAGTCCCACTCCGGGAAGAGACTGGTTACCTAAAGCGATTGTCCCCCTTTAGGACATCCATGACAGTCCCCATGGGTGGGGTAAGAATCCGGTCCATGGTGAACAGGGTCCCGTACCGTCCCCTCTTGTCATGGGCAGCGATGCAGCTATTCTCGATGCACAGGCTCTGCACAAAGGAAGAGCAGACAGAAGGGGGCCATTATTCTCCCAAGTGGGTTTCCTGATTTGTTCATGGTCTCATGCTAATGAGAACGCCCACAAAAGTCAGTGAAAATACATCAGGTGGGTCACGGAGATTGGGATGTGACATATATTTTCCAGGAGAGAAAACGATACATAATGATCTTCCTCAAGGAAAGAATGGACATACAGACCCCAATAAGGTTACGCAGAGGCCCCATAATGAGAATATCAGTTACATATGAGGTCCACTGACAATCAAATAGATTGAGTCCACTGTTTTACTTATGTTATAGATGACCACCATCTTTAACCAAGTGGAGCTGACTGGCCCAGGCCAGGAGCAATGCTGAGTTATGGTTTTCGTTTGATATCCCAGGGTGGCTATGGAGTCTGAAGACAGAAGACACAGGAGAAGAGAAAAGGGAACATTTTAGGCCAAGGAAAGCTGTGTCTGCATTGTCTTCACAGAGAGGTTTCTTTTCTATTATTTAGGCTAAAGCCACACTCTCTCTTTTTTTTTTTTTTTTTTGAGGTACTGGGGATCGAACTCAGGACCTTGTGCTTGCCAGGCAAGCATGTGCCACTGAGCTACATCCCCAGCCCTGAGAGACTTCTCTTCACAAAAACTCAGAAGGACTCAAAACCTTCATCCCTCGTCCCATGTGTTCATCCCTCTGAGTTCCTGGTGGCTTTACTGCTTAGCAATCCAGGTCAGACAAGTATATTGTAAATTCTCCAAGGGCTCCAGAAAAGGAGATTCTAATACTCCTGCAGGATCTCATTTAACATTATATAAACTTTCCAGAAATTACTTCCTTATTAGAAACCAGTTCTTATGCAAACTCCTACGTATTAAGGATTTTTTAAAACACTAATATAACTTCCATTTCTTAGAGCTGAGGCAAAGAAGGAGCAGGATTTAGGACCCAGAACTTACATTACGATAAACAAAAACTCTGAGCTTTTTGCCACCCAGTGTGTCCAGGGTCTGTCCCCGGTACAAATCCTTGGAGGCCACTTGGCCTTTAACTACGTGGTTTAGAAGCAAATTCTTCATTTGGGCATCAATGCGAGGGGCTCCATCTGTGAAAGAAGGTGTGGTTAGGTCCAGCAAGACAAATACAGTGCAAAGCCCATCCCTCTTTGAGTTTAGAAATGGAGACTGAGAAATCAAGCAGGGTTGCCAATATTCCTTAATATCTTGCATCTTCTTTGGAAAAAAAGTGCAGATAATTGAGGGTGTTTGGAGTTTTGCCCAAAGAGACAAGGGAAGGCACACACACACTTTGGCTCACCCTGTCTTCTGCATGGCTGCAGCTCAGCCAAACCCTCATGCTATACAATGGCACTGGCCTTGTAGATAAAAACACAGGAGATGCTTACTCTCCTGGCAGAACAAAGCCTTGAGTGCTGAAGAACAGATCCTCAAGTGCATTCTCAGTTCTGCCAAATGAAACAATAGCAAGTCTAAAGTTTCTGCTGGAGTCGAATCTGCTTTGGATTGAGCTGGGTAGAAGGTCTAGGTTTCCATAGGTGCTATAAATCAGGAGAGTGTCATGGAGTTGATGGGTGGGAGTGGCTGCTCCAAGGGGCAGACAGGGGTGTTTTTCCACATTACCTTTGAACACAGAATTCAGGGGAGCCAAGAGGGTCAGCCGCTCATTTCCAGAGAGATGTGTGCTGAGGCCAGCTTGTCTGAGGAGGTCAGTGACTGTGGAAACATCAGACTCTGCAGCCAACTCAAACAGTGTCTTGGCTACAGGAAGGAGAAAGGGGGTTCAAAAGTTAACCGTGGTGTTTGTACTTATCATCCATCCACCCAAGATCATGACACCCATCAGCAGAAATGTCATCTTGCAAGTCAACAACCCTAGGAACACAGCAGGGCCTAGTGGGTTTGTCATCAGAAAACCTAACCAGTGGGGAAGTGAGATGAGCTTCGGTTTGGCAGAAGGCAGCAGCTGTTCCAGGCTCTGAGACAGCTTGATCAAGGCCTGCCTGATGCTGCATACCTGGCTGTATGATGGCCTCTAAAGAGTCCATCAGGCTGTAACCACTCCCATAGGAAGAGTCTGTTTCTTTCTGTGAGATTCCTTCACTATGGGCTTAATAGACATGAGCCAAAGTCTATTCAGCCATCCACCCTGAGTCAGTGACCTGGAATGGCTTGGGTGCTATTGAGAAAGCATATGGTCTGAGGTCAGCTAATGGCCCTCTGTACCCAACTACAGCAAGCAGATCTTCTGAAATTGTGGGATTGTGTCTCTCTTTTCCTAGGTACTATTAATGGCTCTCACTGCCTCCAAGACAATGTCTGAATTCCTGTGCCTAAAACTCAAGATTCTTCACCATCTAGTTCTAACCTACCAGTTTACAGTGGTTAATAGGCTGTGAGCTGAGTCCAAGCAGGAAAGTGACTCACATGACCCCTGAATCTCCACCACCTTGCCACTGGGAATGGACAGACTGGACAGGACTAAGGCCTGGAGACCTGGGGTACCTGAATCTGGGATGAGCAGCTCATCGATGAAGTGGATCACACCATTCGTGGCCAAGATGTCCTTGTTAGAGATGATGGCCTTCCCATTGATGGTAAGCATGTCCCCACTACAGCCCACCTCCAGAGTGGTGCCCTCCAGTGTCTCCATGGACAGCCCTGCGACAATCGCCTCAGCACACATGGCTGATTTCAGGATGTGGTTGTTCAGCAAATCTGGGGGCAGAATAGGACATGGGGAAAGTCAGAGCCTGCTTCAGCCAGACTCCTGGGGTCAGCTTACAGTCTGCCCTTCCTGTGAGGACTCTATTCTATCATATAAGGACCTTCAGACAGGCTACGGCATCACAAGGTCTGGGGCCTTCTTTCCTCCTGCCTGTCACTCTCTAAAACTGGCTGGGACTCTGCAGTCTGGATGCTTAAGTTTGAATCCCATGGCCACTGGCCAGCTGTGGGACTCTAGGCAAGTCAGTTAGTGTCCTCGAGTGTCATCTTCTGCATCAGTAAATTGGAGATAAGAATAGTATTGGTCTCCTCTGCAGAGTAAAATATTCAGCACACTGCCTGGTGGCAGAGAAAATGGTAAAAAAATGTTAGCCATTAGCTTATGAGTACAGAACTTCAGGGTGAATTCTCTTATTAGGATATGAACTTCAAGGGGAGAGGAAAATCTCATGAGCCTACCATGGGACTTTTTAATCTACTGACCTTTCTAAAAAATGTAAAATGGGATAGGAAAAATGGAAACTGCAGAAAAAGAAAGTTGTGAATTATCTGTATATTTTATTTGTCCAGGCTTTGTTCATTTGCTCAACCTACCAAGATCTGTCTTAGAGGGTGGGGAATGGTGATCAGTAAGACAGGGCCTTTGCTATCCCATTTGCCTCATCTGCAAATAATAAATTCAAATGCTTATTCACTTGTCCAAGTGTTACTTTAGGGCAGGGCAGGGGCTAGGATCCCTGAGAGGGTTCTGGCTCCATCATGGCTTTCACTGGCATTCATGACCTCCGTATGGAGGAAGCTGCAAGGAGAGTTAAGAAGAATGTGTCCCCACCTCAGCCTAGAAGTTTCCTAAGCTACTCTTCTCCCAAGCTACCAAGGTCCTTTGTCTTGCATTCTCACCACAGAAGTGAGTTTCATACTGTTACTGAGTATGGGAACCAAAACTGCGCTGTCATGGACAGGAGGAAGTTCTGAGGCTCTGCAGAGGCACTGGGCAGCTGAAAACTGGCTTAGAACGCCTGTGCTGACCTGATTCAGCCAGAGGGGAAGACAGAGGACACCAAGACTCTATGGCAGTGAGGCCTTTGGGAGTCTTGCTTCTCAGAGGAGGAAACTGAAGCCCTAAGGTGGGGTTTGGGTGGACCTGCCAGGGCCACTCAGGGAGTAAGCAGAGTCAAGACTGGAGACCAGGCTTCAAATGGGACACATCAGCCTGGGGCTGGTTTTTGTCTATCTCTAGCCCACCAGTAACAGGAGAGTGTCAATGGTTGAACCTTTTCCTTCAAGCCCACAGCTACAGCAATAGAGAGAGGGCCTTTTCTTTGAGTAAACCAGTTACTGAGCAGAAAAAGTAGATCCACAGAAGGCATAAATTAGAGGTCATTTTTTTCTTCCACTTTATAATAAGGAGTTATGATATCTGTGAAGATAAAAATATGGTCTGTACAAAAGATGTTTTAATGGGAGCTACAGTTTGACCCTCAAAGGCCCATGTGGTAAAGGCTGTTCCACAGACTGGCACTATTTGGAGGCTGTGGAACCATAAAGAGGTTGGGTCTAGCAGGAGGTCATTGGGGGCATGGTCTCAAAGAGGATTGTAAGTCTCTTTCTCTTTCTCTCTTTTATTCCCTTGATGCCAGGTGAGTGGCCCCAAAGCCACAGGCTCAAAAACAATGGGGCCAACCAACCATGCACTGAAACCTCCAAAATGTGAGCCAAATGATGGTTTCTCTTCCTGAGTTGATCATCTCATGTATTTGCTACAGTAATGGGAAGCTAACACAATGAGGAACATAGTTCAAAATGGGAAGCAAACTATGCTGAGGTGTATTTAAATCTCATCTCCTTTAGGCAGCCTTTGAGACCCCTGAGGCTGTGTGGGCCCCACCCTCATTCCCATAGCATGTTGAGTATCTTTGTCTGTGTTGACCATGTCTGTTGCTGCATTCACCAGATCAGATCCCAACAACCCATTTTGAAACCTGCCACCCTTCTAGATGAACTTCCTTGCAGACATGGACTGAACTGTATTTACTTTTGTGGCCCCAGTTTCCAGCATAGAGCAGGCATCTGGAGTCACCAAAACCATCTGGAAACAGAACAGATCCCATCTGTGCTTTCAGAAAGTGTCCTTTCTGATTCCTGACTAGCCAGGAGGAGAACATGCTAAGTTTCTAGGGTGTCTGAGTGCAGTAGGAATTTTTATACAGTACAAGGCAAAGGTAGATTTAATTAGACTCAAAACAAATGAAGTCATCTCTGGATTATATTCGGGAGGAGCAGGGGCTTTGGGGCCTACTCTCTTTTCCAGGGGACTCAAGGCTCATTAGGCAGGTTAATGCTTATGGCTCTGAGAGGTCCTGGAGTTGAAAGGGGCCAGGTGAGGGGAAGGCCAAACCCCCCAATCTCTCTTCTGTGTTTGCTCCTTTCCTCCTTTCTGGCAATAATTGTGCCCCCTCCTAACTCAGCAGTACACTGTGGGGGTGGGGATGGAGCCAGCAATGGGCAGGTAAGAGTTCACTATTGCTAGTTTCTACTATAATTTTGATTGCCCATGAGGCCTCTAGCCAGACACAGCCAGCATGATGATTCCATTTCAAGGATGCCATGACTTGTCCCCCACTCCCCATTCCACACCTCCCACACCTCCACCTGACAGCCTTTCTCTGGCCTTGGCCATTGAGCCTTCATCTCTCCCTGTGTCTGTTGAGGCTCAGCTATGGACTTCTGACTCTGCCTCCCTCCTCATCCCTGGACAAAGCCTTCAGGTATCTGGGCTTGTCCTTTAGAGCCAGGGTGGTGCTCTGCTCTGGATTCTGCAGAGTCCTGGCTGGATGGGAGTAATGGAACTTGATGGTCCCAAGCTACAGCTATGGTGGGCTTCCCGAGAGTCACCTCTGGGCAGGGAATGTGCCTATCGTGGACAAAAGTAGGTCTTGGGCTTACTCAGGTTGCTCCAATGAAGCAGCAGCAGAAATTCAGTGTCCTTACCTCTCAGGGCCTCTGGGTCACCCAGGATCCGGTTCAGAGTCTCAGCAGGGATTTTCTCAAAGGCCTCATTGGTTGGGGCCAAGAGTGTGAACTGACCATCACCCTCAAGTAGGGTGTTGAGCCCTGATGCAGCCACAGCAGCCTGTGAGAAGGAAGGAGGATGAAGTGCTCCCCAAAGGCACTGGCTTCTGCCTAGCAAGAGGCCTTGCTAGCCCGCCCTTGGGGAATCAAGGCCCAAGAGAAAAAAGAGAAGCTAAATCAAAGCTCTCCCTTCACCATGGCCTCCATGTAACCTGGCCTGGTCTGTGCTCCAGTCAAACTGGCCATCTTTCAGGTACTTCTATGCCTCATTTTTTTTTCCATCTGCAGGCCTTTGCCCTGCAATTCTCTCTGCCCTTCCCTCTTTCTTCAATTCTCTGACTCCTATTCCTTCTTCAGGCCTTAACTAAAAGATTGTTTCTCTGAGATGTCCATTTGGCATCTGTCCCCACTCCCAGGGCCCCAGGCAAAAGTGAGTCTGTCTGCTATAGACACTTCCTCAGCTTGCCACCATCTAGCAACTGTAATTCCATACTTATTGGTAACGATTTATGCGATCTCTGGGAGTGTCAGGATCACAGGACCACAACCTGAGCAGCTTCAGACTACTCTCAGGTGCGAACAGCTTTGTCCACCAAGTCTAAAATGTCTTGCAGGATCTGGCCTGGCCTCTCCCCTCCCTTTCTGTCTCCCTAGTGCCCTTTGCTCTGGCCCACGGGGCTCTTCATTGCTGTGCCTGCTCTTGAGTTCTCTTGTCCTTACTCCCTGGCAATGCTCTTGCCCCACCCTTGGGTAGAACAGGCCCACTCTCTCCTCCAGGGCTCCGCTGCAGTCATCTCTTCCACAGAGCCCTTTCCTGACCATCCTGCGCCTTGGCCTTCCTCTTCTCTCATGAACCACTGAGCCGCTGACTTCAGGGGTTTATCATGGTCTATGGCTACTTTGTGTCTTATCTGTCTACCCAGAAAGAATATTAATTCCATGAAGGTAGAAATGTGTCTGCCCTGTTCACTCTTTACCCTGGAGCATGGAACCATAGCTGGGAGGTAGCAGGTGCTTAGTAAGCATGAGTTAGAGAGAAGGAAAGATGAGCATGGGAGGGGGTCACAGGGGAAGAAGGAAGGAGTATTTGCCAAACCTAAAGAGTAAGAGGTTACTCAAATGGACCAAGTTCTATGAATCAAAATATATGGGAATAATTTTGTGGCAATATCCTTCCCTTGAAGATCCCCGTGCTATGAGTGACCCAGAAGAAAAGCAGGGGAGAAGGGCTTTGGAGTCAGGCTCCCAGGACTCTCTAGGGCCAGCCAACAGCTGTCCCTGGTTGCTGAGGTCCATCTGGCTCAAGTGTGTTTGTCTCTCTGTGTTGGAGATCTCCAGGGAGGGACTGCCCCACTACCATTTGTATCCTTTGTGGTTTGAAGGTTCTCCTTGACCGAGGGTAAAAACCCTGACAAGGCAGCCTGCGTTCACTTCCTCCTGAGCGGGTGTTACCAAAAGGAACACTGGCCCCTCCAGTTGTAAGGCAGATGCCTGCTGGTCATGGGGAAGGAACTGTGTTCTTGTGGCCCCGGAACAGTTACAAGCCAGCCCAGGAGTGGGACCTAAATTCCTGTGTTTACATGGATGGCCTCTCTGGTAAATCTAGGCTCCATGGAAACATGGGCATGGCTGGAACAGGGGTCCAGCATGGAGAGATTTGGTCCAGAAGCATTATGTAACCCAGCAGGCCATTTATTCCAGTGCCCCTAAATGGGAGCCAGCGTTAGCATTATCTTTTTTTTTTTGGTACCAGGGATCAAACTCGGGACCTTGCGCTTGCAAGGCAGGTGCTGGAAACACTGAGCTAAACCCCTGGCCCTCAGCATTAGCATTAGATGGGGTCTTCCCATCTACAGAACCCATAGCACAGGCCCAAGGAAGTCCAGGGCGCAGAGGACCCCTTTCAGCTGTTGCCACAGAACTTTCCAGGGGAGCCAAGCAAAGGAAAGCTTTACAAAAGAGAGAACAAACAGGAGGTATTTCACAGGGTAGGATCAAGCTGAACATCTAATTAGTAGACTCTCCCTAGTCCCCTCCCTCCATGAGACATTCAGACATCCTCCACTCTCCTGCAGAAGAGATCCCACCAGGCCCCTCTCAGGAGCCTATGTGTCCCCTGGGGCAAGCCCTCACCCGAAGTGTCTCAAAGGTGTCCTCAATCTCAATGATCTGCTGAATGTTGTTGGTGATGGTGGAGATGACCTTATCGATGAGATGTACCACACCATTGGTCGCATGGTGGTCGGCTTGCAGCAGCCGAGCACAGTTGACAGTTACAATCTGCCCAAAGAAGAATCAAGGGTGAGTGGCTGACACAGTGAAGGCCAAATGTGGAAGCCCCTGGAGGGGTAAACAATGCCTTCGCACTCAGCAGCAGAATGTCGTTGAAACTGCTGTGGAACAAGAACACCCAAGGAGAAGCAAACCTAGGAGCAAGGGCCACCCATGGGTTATCACACTGCAGGACAGAACCCTAGAAAGCAGTCCCATGTATGGGGCAGACTTGGGCTCATTGTGGCAGAGAACAATGCTGTTGGGGATGCCCCTACCCCATTGGGATAGTGGTGGATCTGGATGTTGGAATTCTGGTACATGGAGGTGAGGGCCATGCCGTGCTTCAGCTCGTCAGTCAGGACTCGTCTGTCCACCATATGGTAGCGAAGGGCATTGAGCAACTCGATGTTGACATTGCTCACCAGGGAGTCCAGCACTTCCTAGAAGGAAAGACAATGTGACAGTTATGGGGCTTCAGACTATGTTTAAGGGATGGGTCCCTGCTCCCCTGGGAAGCATGCTTTCTAAGGCCCAAATGGGCACAGGCCTCCCTTCTGCCAAGGACCCCTCCTCATGAGCACCATCTCATGCCTATCTCAAGTGGGATGGACAGGAAGAGACCCAGTGAGGCATAATTAGTCTTCTCTGAGGGGTTAAGGGAAAAGGTCTCTGAAGCAGTAGCTATAGAATCCCATTCTTCACACATGCCCAGGAACTAGGGAGTAGGGTACATCCCTGGAAGAGTCTTCTGGGCAGAAGGGGGTGGTCTCACCGCTGGCAAGGAAGCCCAGGCCTCATTGCTAGGGGCAAAGAGGGTGAAGCTGCCAGGGCCCTCCATCTCAGGCCGTAGCTTCTCTGTGCGGTCCGTGTACAGCTGAGTGGTGGTGGACCCCACAACTCCCAGGGTCTCGTAAAGGTTTGAAAGTGGAAGGGCTGCAAGAACAGAGAGGGCAAGAGGGGTGACTTCTGGGCACCCACCCAACCAGAACACCTACCCTTCCTTCTCTGCCAGAGAGGACGCTGGGTGAGGGGGAGGTGAGGAAGAGGGTGGTAAACCCAGAGAGTCGACTGCTGGGGTACTCAAGGCTTGCTACATGCTTCTTAAAATGACTCAGTAAGTCAAATGTCTCTCTATGTGAACACAGCTAAGTGGTAATTTTTAATTATTTTAAACATAGCAGAGCAAAGTTTTTGTTCCTAGACATTTAGCTAATAAGGGCAGGAATGCACACCCAGAAATAGATATCTTAATTTTAAGCCAGTGTTACAGATTGTCTGGTTATTAAAACTAGTTCCCTAGTGGCCTCTACGAGAATGAAACAACTAAAAATCTTTGAGGTACTTTCTGCATTTGCAGGTAATACAATGTTATTTCGACAAGCAGCCTAAGGTAGAGAAAAGTGTGTAGTCAATGTTCACTTTTTTTTTGGTACCAGGGATCGAACTCGGGTCCTTGCGCTTGTGCAGCAGGCAGCAAAACCACTGAGCTAAATCCCGGCCCCAATGTTCATTTTTAAAGATCTGAAACCAGAGTCTAGAGGCTGAGCTCCCTTTTAAAACCAAACTCCTTTTTCCTTTGCATTCGCCCCACCTGTCCTTCCATTAGTGTTAGTAATGCCACACCCCTACCCATGCCAACCACAGGCCCCGTGTGACCTTTGTACCAACTCAATTGGCCCCTCCCTCAAGTTTCAACCTCATCTTCTTAATCTAAACAAATAGCTTATATTTCAAAGTTAAAACACAAACCCTGATGCACAGTTGCTGGTGATATGTGACACTAAAGAAAAGATTCTGGGGGCCTGGGATTTAGCTCAGTGGTTTCGCCGCCTGCTGTGCAAGCGCAAGGACCCGAGTTCAATCCCCGGCACCAAAAAAAAAACAAAACAAAAAGAAAAGATTCTGATGAGATTCACAGGTGTCACACTGCCTTTGGCCCAATGTGGCCATTCGTGGTACTCTTGGCCAGCTTTAATGAGCCACTTGGCCTATGGTTTTCCTCTCTGTAGCTCCAGTAGGCCAAGTTTAGATACAGAGTGAACTTACCCTATCTGGTCTCTAGCAGGGCTGATGGGAAACCAACAGGACATCAGACCAACCCTATGGATGCATTCAGAATCACTCCTAGCTAGAGACAAGGCCAGGAGCCTGCATGTGCTGAGGAGAGGCTTCTATTAGAGTCAGGCCAGAACTAGAGTTCACTCCAGCAGCTTGTTGAGGGGTCAGAAGAAGCATCCCAGGGAACCCACTACTTCTAGCTCTTGTTCTTCACCCCTGCAATGGAGCCTAGAGGCCAGTGAGCACATGGGAGAATGCCAACACACCCTCATCCCAAGACCCCCATCTGGACGGACTCTGCTGCCTTTCATGTTGGTTCTCCTTTCTCCAACCTCACTCCTCCATCCATAACCACAGACAGAGCCTGGCTTATTCACCTGCTGGACAGCCCTTCTCTCCTGGGACCTTTTCATATCCAGGACAGCATTCGTAGCTGATGACTCTGTAATGAGATGCACACATATGTGTATCAGGCATGGTTTCACTCTTCCTCATGTACCCTCAGGGCCTCTCCAGGCATAGTTGCCTCAGTGGCCAAGGAAGAGAAAGGACAAGTAAAATAGTTTCCTCCAAGGAAGTCATTGATGAGATCATAATTGTGCCTTTTATCAGCAAAGAACTGTTCACTCCTCCTTGGTCTTGTAGAATGAGCCTGATGGCTGCCAATACCTATAGAAAACCAGCTGGGAAACTGGACTGTGGTAGTTTATTGGGTAGTGTTGTTAGAAGATGCAACTCTATCAAGGATTTATCTCAAACACAATGCCAGGGAAACCTGGTGGTTAGTGCACTGGAAAGGTCGCAGGGAGGAGTACACAGCCTTGTTCCAGTCCTAACTCTAGGCCTGCCACATGCCCAGCCAGTCTCATCTCCTCTCTGGGCTCAGGTTCCTTGTCTGTAAAATGCATGTGTGTACATGGCAGAAGGGGAGGTGGTAGAGAACTCATTTGGTAAAATCTCTTATGCTCTTCTGGTTCTCCAGTTTTACAACAAAAAAAGGGTAGCATATATGTGATCATCAAGTTTTTCCTCAGTCTTTGCAATCGAACTTTAAGACAAAAACAACGCTTTTACAGAGATTTTTTTTCTATTTGTATTAAAAATCCTTAATCAGTAAAAATATGTTGTGGTTTCAAACTGAAAATATACAAAAGCTTATATAGTAAAGTGTTCCCTAAACATCCTCATCCTTCACCCCATTGTCTTCCAGGAGGCACCAATATTGCCAGTTGCCAGAACTCTCTGCATGTAGACGAACACAACATCAGCAGCACACAGTTAGGAAAACTAAAGACTTTCTCATCTCCTGACCACACTAGCCTGTTATGGGACAGTGACCACCATCAGAGGTCTGAAAGACAGAGGTTCAGCCAACCTGAGATTCTGGGGAAGCACAAAAGACTGGGAATTTCAAATAATGTTTCAAGAAAAGGAGAGTTCGGACAGCCTGTTCCCAAGAAAGACTTGCTTTGAAGCCCATTCTCCACATTTAGCTGAAGTCGTGGAGCCAAAGGCAAACAGCCATGTTCTCTCTGCCCTTATTTTGTATACGTGGATCTGCCCTGTGAGATAAATGAGAAGTCAGACTTGAGCTGAAGTGAGTGTTACCAGACTTGCTCATGCACGATGTTTGATGGCATCACCAGCAGAGAGGTGGGCAGAACGAGAACTGTGGCTTTGGGGTGCTAGCAGGTGGTCTCAGTGCACAAGCGGCATCTTGCTTCTGTGAATTCAACTGGCATCAACTCAAGCTGTGTGTGTCACGTGGTTAGAAATGGGCTCCCAGGAAAGGAATGACAGTTACGCACATTCTTCTCTGCCTGCTCTCTCCTCCTGCTTCCTCTTCCCCTTTTCTCTTACCTTCCTCCCACATTTTCTTTTTTAGCCTTGCATCTCTGTACTTATAACAGTTAAACAGGACTCGTGGTGGCCCAGACAGTTTCACCTTCAGAAACTAAAGTCATCTTTGCAACTAAAGAATTGGTTGATAGATGACTTGTAAAGGCAGCATGGTGTAAGAGAAACAGTTCCAGAATTGGGAGGCGTGCCTTGTGATCCATCAGTAACTAGCAAGGGGACTTTGAAAGTCCATGTCTGTTTCTGGTCTCAGTTTCTTGATCTATAAAATGGGGTGAAGTTAAACTAGATGATTTCTGAATTTCTTCCCACATCATATGGTTCTAGCCAGTGGGCTGGTATCTAGGGAAAGAGAACCATTCTCTCAAAGAAAGCCAGAGTGTGCCAACTTCTTCCAGCTAAGTCCGGGAAGAGCACCACACCTTGAGCCCATAGCACTTGGGACGTCCATGTGAGATTCTAGGATTTCTTTGATAAATACCAGGGTTCTGTGGCTGGAACTGGGGAGGTGGGATTAGGCCAACACTCCCCAACCCCAAGCTTAGTTGTTTTTTTTTTTACAAGTGGCTGCATGAAATTCCAGAGCTGGGGAAACCCGTTGGAAAAAGTCTTATCCACAATATCCTCATCTCTGGGGTGCTCTGTGCACATAGGTGCAGCATACCATATTGCTTGGAACTCCCAGTCAACCAGTCAAAGATTTGATTTCCAAAATGTTGGCTTCTGAGTTCCATTCCAAAAAACCACAGGAGAGCGGAATAGCTCAGTGGCCTCACCAGGATTTCAGTGAGGCCAAAAGAAAACCAACTCCCCAAGTGTGAACCTTCTGGTTCCCACGGTGGTGAGCATGTGCATAGAAGTACAGAGACTAACACCAGGAGAAAGAGAGGACTCAGGGGCTGGGAAGGAAGGGAAAGACGGAAGTAAAACAGCCTTAGTGAGGTGAAGTGCGACTAGGATGGAATCAGAAAGCAAGCTGCAGGACTCTGAGGGGTGATGGGGTCTCAATATCCTAGGTAGGGTCAGCCCTAAGACTCTTCTCATATTTCATCAAGTCCATCTCTTTTTTGTGCTGCTTTTGACTATGTACACATTGGGGAGAGCAGACTTTTGACATATATCATCTCTAGAATGATCCAGGCTAGCCCTCCTCAGCACTCTGTGCCCTCCAGGTAGGCTCTCTACACCCATGTCTCACTGCAGCTAGACTGAGTCCTACTGTCTGTCACACATGGATGGCTTCTGCAGCATGCCCCTCACAATGGAGGATCAGCCACTGAGGCTGCAAAACCTCCCCAGCCAAAGGCTTTATCCTGGTTAGCTGACCACAGTTCTCTCCTAGGAAGCTTTTTCTTAGTCCTTGTCCTCTGCTGGCCTCTCCCTCTCTGCCCTCCTGCTGCCCATGAGGGAAACTCTGCCTAAGCACAGCAGCCTTATGGGTTGAGATGGTTCCACAGCTGATGGGTTCCCTGCTTCCAGCTGTCCAAACAATGCCAGCCTTTATCAGGACCAGCCTGCATGGCCTTGCTGAAGCACAGGGCAGCTAGAGGTTGTAGACTGAGAAGAGAGCTCACTGAGATGATCTTGACCAGAACTTCCTGGACTGGCAGTCTCCACTGCAGTCTGCCCTACCCTCCCAGGGCCCAGGGTGCCACTCTGCATGAGCTCTGGTTCTGGGGAGAACACAGAGTTTGGGGGAGATGGGCTGGGGCTTGAGCACAGGGCCTGGGTTTGTTGCCATCTAGGATGAATGCAGAAGGGATGGAAGCCACAAGGAGCCTCCTGTCTGTGTTCCCCCAGTTGCTAGGTGTTTGTGCACATAAAGGATCGATTTGTTGGTCTCTAAATCTCATCTCATCATCCAAAGCTTCTCTAATTAAATGCTCCTGGCTTCTCCTTGGCCAAAGTCAAATAAAGAAAAACCTCAGGTCAGAAAAGCATCCTCTCTAGGGAAATGAACTAAATATCTTGTTCCAGCTTCTCAGTACAGGAGAATGATTTGAAGAAGAAAATGAGGGAGTGTGCCTTATTTAGAGGGGTATTTAAATTGAAGGAGGGAGGAGGGCAAACAGATAGTGTCAGTGCCAGGTCTAAGTGCAGGGATGTGTGGGGAGCAGGCCTCTACTCCCCCCTGACATCTTTACTCAGGACTGGACAGAGAGAAGTATTGGTAGTTCTCTCCCTAAAGTAATTTTCCACAAGGTTAATGCAAAGTTGACACAGTCCCTCTTTCAAGCGTGCTTTACAGGTTCAGCCAACTGTTCTGGCTGTAAATGCTCAGGGGTTACTCAACCTGGGGAGGAGAGGGAGCAAGGAGGAGAGCCTGAGAGCCAGTCTCCTGTGACAGAAGGTAAAGCATTCAGTGTGTCATAGTTTCCAAGGGGAGTCACAGACCAAACGCAGACCCACGGCGTCTAGCTACTGGGCAGACTCCACAGACTGCCTGCCTGGGGCGATTCTGGTTTTCTTTTCCTTGCTCCTGGCTTTGGGAAGGTGGCTGAACTGATTCTTGAGGTCCCCAGTAGAAAATCAGGGCTTGCTTTAGATGACTGCCAGTAAAGCCCTGTGCCAGTGCCCCTACAGCATACACCAGCCTGGGTGGTGATCAAGATGGAGACTTCAGGAAGTGGGAATACGTTTTTGTGGGGACTGCTTGTATGTGGTATTTTAGGGTATTTTGGGGACTCTAGGATGTTGACCAAGTCCTCTCAGTTCCCATACCCATCATCAGACGAGAGGTTTGGAGGGTCCTCCTCACTGCAGGGGATCCTCACGACCACCACACTGGAGTGAGCTACTGTGAGAAGGTTGGTGACAGCGGGCCAAAGGGCTTCTCTGATCCTAAACAGGTCTTGTCCCTGGGGCTCACAGCCACAAGTTTTGGGGCCACAGAGAGAGCCCCTCTCACTTGGGCATCTCCTGTGTCATGGACACTCAATGCTGGTCTTGATTCTTCCTGGGGGTGGCAAAGTGGAGTAGACAGAGTTCCCCCAGGAACCAGTGGATGATCAGGCTGGTCATCCTGATGGGCAGGATGTGCAGGCTTGCTGAGCTTCAGTTCTCCCATCTGAAATGGGCTAATAATCACATTCAGATGATAGCGTAACTATGACATGTGTGCGGCTTACATACAAGAAGCACTAACAGAAGCCTGGTGTTTATTAAATGCTCAATTATCGAGAGTCTTCCAAAAAATCCAAACAATCGAAAGCATGACAGTTCAGGTAGAAACTTTAAATAGAAGCTAGGTTAGTCACTTCATTGAAAGCCATGTCCTTCATGAGGCCAGTGATTGAATCACACTGTGATAAATAAATCCCTCACAACACATTAATAGAACTCAAAAGATAGGGCCTGTATTCATTTTCTATAGTTTGATGTAACAAATTACTATAAATTTTATGGTTTAAAACAATATAAATTTATTATATTATAATTCTAGAAGTCAGAGTCAGAAGTTTGCCTCATGGGGCTAAAGTCAAAAGTTACATTCCATCCAGGGTTCATAGGGATCACCCATTCCTTGCCTTTTCCGCCTCCTAGAGGCTGCTGCATGCCTTGGCCTGTAGTCCCATCAGTCCAATTTAGTTTGCACTCTCACATCCCTTCTCTGACTGCTCCCATGGCCTCCCTCTTATAAGGACCTTATGATTACACTGGACCCACCACATAATCCTAGACAATCACCTTCTCACAAGATCCTTAGCTTAGTCACATCTGCAAAGTTCCTTTTTGTATGTAAGGGGACATATTTGAAGTTTTGCAGATTAGGGTGTAGGCATCGTTAGGAGGATGTTTTTCTACCTACCACAGGGCTTTTTGCTATATGCATATAAGTGCATGTAAGTTCTCAGTAGAACAAAATTCTATGTGAGCTAAGCAGCCTCCTCGTTTGAAGAATGGTCTAGAATCTTCAGGAAGCACTGTCAAGAGAGGTGTTGGTGAATCTCTGGTGTTTGATACATGTCTAGTCTCTATTACTTTAGAGCAGATTGTCTATGGGGTCCCAGTAAATACGAAACGGGGAAAGAGGTATAGTGTGGATCTCTGGGGACAGCCAACATGGCCCTTCACTGTTCTCTTCTTTTTCCTCTTGGGTCCAAGATTATGGGATACAGGAAAGGGAGGAGAAGGAGGGCTCTTCTTTAGCTTCCAATCAGATGTCTCTGAGTGCCCTGCCCAGAATGACATCTATTGGAAACAGACCTGCCAAGTGGAAAAGCTTGACCATGTCCCAGATGCCTTCAGTAAAAGTTAAATCTATAAGCTTTAATGCACTACTGAAGCATTACTATTTTGCCCCTAGGTAGAGCAACACTTGTTCCTACAGAAATGGTAGTGTCCTGCCAGCTCATCTTGGCTCCAGAGAACAGCTTTTGCACTTGGGAAATGTGCTGCCCATGAAACAATTTCAAGAGTTGGATGGACAGCCTTATCCATCCAACTTGTGAGCTTCCACACCAGCCACCCCTGTGCCGTGTTCATGATAGCTAAGCTCCTGTTATGACTGTGACATCCCAATGATGTCACCTCTGACCTGGCTGTTAACCAGACTCCTCTCTCCAGGGCTCACACAAAAGAGGCCTGTTGAGAGGCAGCCAGACTTCCTGACCACAATTTCCTGCACCTTCTCTCAAGCTGCCACATATCAAAATTTTATGGTTGCCAATCAAAGCTGGTCCTGAAATCACAGAGTGGGGTGCCATCTGCCTCCTCCAGACCTCTTTGTTTGATTAGCTATTGTAGCACACTGGTGCTCTTTAGGATTTGAAATGAAGCCTAAAGTGAATTTTCAAGTAATAAAATTCATCCAAGCCCTGAAACAGGGGTCCTCTGGTAACCACTTCCTACAATAAAATTCATAAGTCCGCTTGACACATGGAACCAGTCTCAGATTCTCCTTCCTCTGGAAATGTGGAGAAGCTATTGCGGCACCATAGATTCACCTGATAAGGACTGTGCCGACTGTGGCCAGTTCCCTGCTCCTCAGGAAGTGGACTCCAGGGCCTCATAGTAACAGACAAGTGGCTGTAGGTCCTGTCTCACCAGGCCTGTCTTTCTGTTTTTATGTGACCTCACACCACAAGGTCTTCACCCCAAAGAAGCTTAGTGGTTGCTAAGCTTCAAGTTCAAATTTTCCTTCTGGTTTTAGGCCCTTCAGGACCTGTGCTGTCTGCTTCCCCACAATGCTTTATTTCCTTTTATTCCAACACACACATCTGCTAGAGCCTCTTCTCTGGAGTCTTGCTGAGAAAATGCCCACTGCCCATGCTGGCCCAGCTGAGACAATCCTCTTTGCTTCAAACACCACCATCCTCCCATGCTCAGCCTGGTCTTCACCCAGCTCTATGCATCTAGAGACCTACTCTCCCGAGGATGACACTGACGCCAGCCAGCACAGTCTCTCCCTGCCCTACCCTTCCAGCTGCATAAAACAGTTCATTCTGGCCATATGGTAGTCAGATGGCAGCCCCTTCAGGGATTTCTGTCTCAGGTATACAAATGTACCACAAAGCTGCCTCTGGCTCTGGGGGACAGCAGATATGCGTTCAACTTCTCTTTCTCTTTGTGTTCTCTTCCAAAGTTAGCCCCACCTTCTGACACTGCATGTGATGTTCCAGGAAGAGCCACTCTTGTCCTGGATCATGAAGTTTTATATCAATTCACATTTTTCTATCCTCAATTCCTCTTTTTTGAAAGTGCCCCAAACAATGGCCACAATTGAGAGTTGAAGAGTATCTTTTCCTTTTGGCTTTGCAAGAGTGGGTCAATAGCTGGCACTGGATACTGAGCTTTGCCTGACTCAACTCTAAATCTCACTTCCCCACCACACCCCCCTACACATCTTCCTTTCCCTGGAATATTTTGTCAACACAGCTCTATTGCTTGTGCCTTGTGCACATGGAGAAAGATGCAAGAGACAATGAGCCAACGTGACGCATCATCAACCACAGTGTCCACCTGGGAGCTGCTGAAGAATGTCATCAGCTACTGTTAACTCCTTGGGCAAACACTTCAACACGGGGCACCTGAAGCAGCATGGCAGATAGCACCCTGTAGTTACTTTGACGTCACAAGTAGGCCCCATTTTTGGAGAAATTTGAATTAACCAAATGGTGACGCTCTTTGAAATCCAGGGCTCTGAGAAGCAAAAGAGCTGTTTGCTTGGCACAGGCACTTTGGTCAGTTTCCAAGAGGTAATTATGTGGGGCCTGGTTTTGTGTTTAATTAAGTAATTAATTAACTGCTTATTTGAGTAGATACTGTACATAATGAAAAAATCAATCAGTACCAAAGGTATTATTATATTTTAAATTTGGGTCTCATGGAAGAATGTATGGTGTAGAATTTGCATAATCTCTTTTTGTTCAAAACAGCAAAAATCATTGCTGAGTCTGATGCTACCTCTTCCAGATTCACTGAAATGTGTTCGATCTTGTGCAACCCTTAGATGTGAAGCTGGGCTCTTGATCAAGGAGGGAACCTGCTTCCACGGACATGCTCTGCACAGGCTCCTAGGGAACTCCTGATTTCTCTCCAGCTTGGCCATAATTTCTAATTTCCCTTGATTCAGACTAGGATTGATAACTGTCTAACATAATGAGGGTCACACATTGGGGTACTTGTTTCCAAGAACATTTGCAGGAAAGAGCATTTTCCCTTCCTTCGTTTGGTTATTAAGTTGGAGGAAATGGCTGCTTGAAAATAACATCACAAGCAATAAATGTAAAAATCCCTAACACTGGAAGACATTCAGGGTAGTGGCTTAGAGTCTCTTAATCCTCCTGTTATGCAGACATGAGGAAGGTCAGACCTCACAAGTGGCTCAGAAGGTTTTGCACAGCACACTTTCCTCCCTCCAAGAGACAGCCAGCTTTCAGATCTGCTGACAGTGCCAAAACAGATTACCTTTCCCCAGAACTCTGTTATAGCACACATACTACCTTGTTCCTAGCAGGCAGCTAGGCAGTGGAGGTGAGGACTGCCTCCCCTTATGCTTACAGGGACGCCAACAATTCCTATTGATACTATACTGCTCCTCAGGCTGTGGCTATGCCTCCTTCTGTCTGTGGAGTCTAGCTTTTAATGTTCTGGTAATAATAATACTAGTAGAACGGGTGTAATGAGCAGTTACTATGTGCCAGGTACTATATTTCTTCTCTTATGTACACTATTTTAATCAATCATCATAACAAGGCACGGCTTTTAGTTATTTCTATTTTACAGATGAGGCAATTGAGGGTCAGGAACATTAACCCTCCCAAGTAAATGGCAGAAGGTGAGTGGTCTGGGTTGGAGTCTGAGCCTGTGTCTTAACATCCAATGCTGTCTCATCACAATGTATTCCTAGCACTCTAAGTCTTTTTAAGGTGTTCACCTTAGCACTGCAGAGCAAGGGTAGTCTTTAGGATAAGTTCACCAAGCAGGTTTTCTTTCCCAGAGTCACATGCTCATAGCATCTCCACAGAATAGTTATATAATTTAGCAAAGAGTGAGAGAAACACACACGCACGCACAATATTTTATGCTTATTATCATTTTAAATCAGCCCTGAAAAATGTATCCAAGTTCTTGTCAGCAGCCTTAAAAATGCAAAACAAATTGGGCAGCTTCATAAAGTGCCACTCCCAGCACATGGTCCCTGACACGTCTGCACATGCATCTTCAGGCTCCTCAGGCAGCCTGGCCTTTCTGAAGAAGGCTGGCCCAGCCTGGAGCCACCTGCACCTGGCCCCGTGCTGCAAGGCCTCCTTAGTGGCTGTAGTCTGGTGGTTTCAGATACTCACGTGGGCTTGCCGCAGATTTTCCTCTGGTACCACTGCTTGCAGTTGGTGAAGTACTTTTTGTTGGTCCCAATGACCTTCTGCACAGCACACACATTGGGGCTGGAGACAAAAGCAACAGTGTTAGTGAGATGGTCAGCATGAGCAGCCACCTTGATGTCTTTCTCATCATGTGGGCCTTCCTGGGTCGTCAGAACTATCTAGAAATGGAGGAGAGATAGCCATTTCAGTCTTGGTACCAGGGTATAGTTTTAGGATGGGCTTTGGTCCTATGTACCTAGAGTCTCCATGAAAGTTCCCCTCAAAACATTGTTCAAGTTTATCTTTTCATATATATATATATATATATATATATATATATATCTATCTTATAATTTCATATATGTATCGTACTTTGACATGAGCAATTGGTAAGTATAAATGAAAGCATCTTAAAAATTTTAGATTACATGTAAGCAACTGAGAAAACTATCAAAGTCAAAGTGGTGTGTTTGCTAAGCAGAGCAGCTTTGAGAGACACCCCACCTTTCTCTGCACCCACACTCCACACCAAGCCTACACTTGACATCCCAGTGTGTGCTGCAGGGCTTGGTCTTAGGAAGAGAAGCCCCAGTGCCTCCTAGGCAGCTCCACATGCAGACATACTCCGTAGGCCCTGACCAACCGGCTGGCTCCCAGAAACAACCCACCAAGAGTGTCCACATGGCCAGCTGCTGTCAGGACAGCTGCCATCAGGGGGTGCACTCCTGATTAACATTCAGTTGTTCGTTACTTACACCCCAGCTTGAGTCCCATTTACCCCAGAAAGCCTTCCTCCACCACCTCGGGTGACGCCCTTCTTTCCATCCTCTGACCTGGGACCCAGCCCTCATATGACGCTGCTTACAGACCCTACCACCACCAATGTGGTGCAAGCGAGAAATGCAAAAGGTGGCTTGGTGTACCAAGCAGAGCCTCGCTGATGTGTTATGGAGGCTCCTGTCTCCAGCTACCCTGTGAGGTGAGAGGAGTTAAGCCTGGAGAGGGGACACAAATGCCCATAGTCCCCAGCGGATTTCTAAACTCTTGGCTTCTCTGTTCACTGCCTGGCGTTCACAGCTAGACAGTCCTTAATAACTCCTGAAAAGTCCCTGCCAGCCAGGCTCCAGCCTGAAGTCCTGCTCATCTTCATGCAGTCCCAGAAGTTCTTCCATCTGACTGAGCAGGAAATAATTACTGTCGATGAATTCCCTGCAACTTTCCGTAGGCGTCTGGCGGATCTTCAATGAGTCTCTGTGGATGTGGCTCCAGCATTCCAGTTTGGAGTGAGTTTCCACTGCTGCTGCCCTTTGTGACAGGAGTGGAGGGTAGGGGCAGCCCTGATCCTCTCCTTGTCTCACTGGGAGTGTGGGTGAGCTGTATGCACAGGAAATTTATGCACAAGTGTAATAAAAATGAGCAAGCCACTTCCGGGCCTTTTGCCTCCAGCATAACAGCACTGCTTTGCAACTTGGATTTGAAAACCAACTGCTTCAGGAAGTTCAGTCCAGTTTTTGGTTGATGATACGAGAAAGTGTGGTTGCATTTTTACTTCTCTTTTAGTAGTACTTTTTTCTCCATCTCTATGGCAACATAGATACAGCTGGGAGCCATGAGACCATGTCACAGTTACTACCTTCCCAACAGCTTTCTGTGTTTGGACAAAGTCACTCTATCTCACTAAGCTGCAGTTTCACCATCTAAAAAATGGGAGCAACTGCAATAGATCTCATTGTGCTATGGAGAATATGAATGCAAAAGTGCTGGTGGGTGGTACAGTGCTGCACCTCAGCAAGGCCTAGTGATCATTTCTTCCCTCACAGTGTCGAGCACACTGCATGCCCTTCAATCAACAAAGTCTTCCTTCCTTTTCTACCAGCCCCACTTTGAATAAGAAGTTGGAGCTTGAACAAGGTCATCTGTATAGGACACCCCAGCCATGTGTGCAAGGCCAGGCACACGTGGTATTTTCAGGGACATGTAGATCAGAGCAAATCCAGCCGTGCCCACAACTCTTTTGCTTCAGCTCATGTGCCTATACATCCAGATTTTACTGATGGAGGTGGTGTCTGGTGACTTTTTGATCATTTTTGTCCATCACAGATTACTATGGGTCTTTCCGAATGTACTGCAAGAAGCTAACCAAGAGGATTAGGCTGCAGGGGTTTGGTTGGGAAATTAATACAATATCTCAAATTCATAATAAAAGAGCATCTGTGGGGCTGGGGATTTAGCTCAGTGGCACTGCGCCTGCCTTACAAGCTCGAGGTCCTGAGTTCTATCCCCAGTACCACCAAAAAAAAAAGAGCATTTTTGTTAAAAAAAAAAAAAAAAAACCCTACGGTTTTCTGATAATATCTTTTATGTTTTGAATGACTGTTCATGAGAGCAGAAAATGAGATTGAAATTTAGTGTCTTCACAGGCTAAGGACCCGAAGCTGTCATTCATTCAGTTTGAGAACCTATGACTTCAACATTTGGTACAGAAGAAACAAGTTGGGCATGGTGGCACACGATGTAATCTCAGCAAAAGTTGAAATCCCAGAAGAAACAAGCTTACCTCCAGCATCAGAGGCCTTTTCAACAGAACTGATGTATCTGGCAACTTTTTCTAGGACAGGCACATTTAGTGTCATTCACTAACCTGAACAACAAACAGGAGCTTCTATGTCTTTGGATAAATTTATGTTTATAAGTGTTGTTATTAAATAGTATTGTAATTTTTAAAAAGCCTTATTTTTGGCCTTGTCAGTGTTTCTTCTGCTCTGAAGGGAAGGAGCTTTGCTAGGGATGGTTCTTGATGCAAAGCCCTGAACACCTTTGGGAACCCTCTGCTGTGGCTGTGTACAGAGATGCCCTTCTGGGTGACTGTACTGTAAGGCATGCTGTAGTGATCTTCTCCCAGGGTAGTGGTTAAGAGGCAAAGCTCCAGAACAGACATCCCGGGGGGCCTGCGGTACCTGAATATAACATGCTTCATTGGCAAAAAAGGCAGAGGGACCCAAAGTGAGAAGGGCTGAAGTAATAAAAATGTCGGCCTTCACATTTTGATGCCCTCTGCCTTTCTGACCTGTCCCTCACCTTCTTTTGCATATGGTCTAAGTCAAAGGAGAACTTTTCCCTTCCCTGAAGACCCCAGGCCATTCCCAGTGGACTGCTCCTTCTGGGAGGGAGTCGAGGCTGCAGCATTCCTGGCTTGATTTCATTCCTCAGGGTGGCCTGACTTGCTCCCAGCACCCCTTTCCCCCCACCTGAAAGCCACAGGCAGAGGAAACAAAGGGGTAGCCTATACCCACACCCAGAGCACACCCAGATGTGAGGAGCCAAGGCTTTTTCAGGGCCTGTGAAGCCAACTCTATCACCCCCACACACACACACCCAACTGTGAGTTTTGAGCTGAAAATGATCTGCCCCTTCCATTTGAGGGTTGGGCACTGCCTGGGGCAAGAGTGCCAGAACTCAGTGGTATCTGGGCCTCCCCTAGGAGTCAAGACTGGTCTCTACTACACATAGTTTTACTAGGTGTGAAAAAGGAGTCGGTGCAACCAGGCGGGCTGGAAGCTACAGGAAAGCCTGGCTATGCGTGAAGCAGGTGTGGCCTGGATTGGGATGCAGAAACACTGTCCACCTCTGGCTGGGTCTGTGCTGGTCTTCACTAGGTCACATCTTCTGCACAGCTTTGCCTCCTACAGCTGGCACAACTTTAGTGTCTCAAAGTACAACCTGCCCTGACAATGCCATTTACAAACCCACCTTTTGCTGTAAGATGAACTTCAATCCTGGGTTCCAGTGCATACTGCAGGATTATGGAAAAATCCCATGTCCTCTCAGGACTCAGTTTCCCCTTCCCAAAGTGTACTGTATGAGGGCTCAGGAATTTTGCTCTCCCTTTGACGGGGAGGAGGTGCTACACTGCCTTGCTGTGCCCACAGAACACTGTCCTGGTGCCAGGGGGTAGGTCCAGGTAGTGGCCAAGTGCACAGAAGCCTGGGGGACTTAGGATGCTGCCACCTATGTGGCCGAAGTCCCCTCTGGGGTCACTGCACAATGACCTGGCTGCTGTACTGCTGGGTGGGCTTCTTCTCTGCCTCAACCATCTTCCCACAGAGATTCTGATGATGGGGAGGCAGAGAATTAATGGCCTCTTTCACCTACAGTCGGGCGAAGAGCCTGAAAGTGGGGTCTCTCAAGTCCTTGGTCAGGGCCTCCACCCCCTTCCTCTACAAAGTGTAGGCGCTGACTTCCCTCCATGGTCCCACACCTCTCTCCCTCCACCCCGTAAAGAGCCGGTCTCTCTGAGTACTGCACATTGCCTGCTTCTTTTTGGGGGGGGGCAGGTTTGTCCCTTGCGCCCCCAGCCTGCTTGGATGCCCCCAGCAGCAAGCCCGGCGACCCGTCCCGTCCCTGTGTCCCTGTGCTCCGCTTACCCGTGCTGCCGACCACGGTGCCGGCTGTGCTGCAGCACCAGCTGGTAGGGTGACTTGGCGGGGCCCGCTAGGGTCCCCGCAGGGCCCAGGGCCAGCGCCAGGGCGAAGGCCAATAGCCGCACGAGGAGCGCCATGGCTGAGGAGACGCGCGCGAAGATTCACCGACCGAACGCGTGGGCGAGCCGCTCCGCTCGGGGGAAGTGAGAGCGCCCGGCCGCCCGCGCCAGGTTAAGTAAGCCAGCGAGGGAGCGGCCTCGAGGGGCGGGGAGGACGGCTGCGCTGACGCCTCCCAGCCCGCCCGGCCGCCGCGCTCGCACCCACTCTCCCCCTCCGCGGTCACTTTCTTCTCCGCTCTCTCCTGCACCACTGCCCAGACCTCCTCACTCGCGTCCACTCTCCTTCCCTTCCTCTCCTGCCAACTTGCCCCTGGATTGGGATGCAGAGGGTGCAGGTCGCGAGGGAGGCGCTTCAGGCTTCTTCCAAGTGGGGACACCGAGTGAGGGGCAAGGGTGATGGCGGGGCGGGGAGGCGGCGGCCCAGAGGTGCCTCGCTGACCTGGCTACAAACATTGCAGGCTGCGCTGATTCTTACAACTCTGTGGCCAGTCAGACTGGACTCTGCGTTCCACACCCCCAGGCATGCTAATAGAAGCACAGATGAAGAGCAAATCTTAGGATTGACAGAAACCCAACATTGTGGGACAGGTTCTGTTAGGCTGTAAGCTGCACTTGAAAACCTGAGGAAGGGTGGGGTCCTCACCTTGGTACTGCCTCTCCCCGCAAATCTTGGCAACACTGTGTGCCAGATACTTTCGGCACTGAGGTGGAAAAGGTGAGATTCCTGCCCTGAAGGAGTTCTGAGCAAGAAAGCAAGTAGTCATGTGGTAGGGAGGGAAGTACAGTACTAATTCCAGCACCTATGAATCACCACGGACCAGTTACCTGGCGCTGTTAGAGCTGGGGAGACAGGATAAGTGGATGAGACCCAGGCCCTTCTGGAGAAGTCGACAGCAAGGGAGATCCACGCCTCAAGCCAAAATGTGCCACAGAAAGAGGTATCTGAGGCCTTGGGAGTCCAGAGGAGGCCCGTGACCCAGATCTATGGCTCTGCTTTTATTTCTTAAATTTTGGTACCAGGGATCAAACTCGGGTCCTTGCACTTATGCAGCAGGCAGTGAAATCACTGAGGTAAATCTCCGGCTCTATGGCTCTGCTTTTAGATCTGAAGGATGAAAAGGAGTTAGCCAGGCAAAAGGAGGCATGAACTCAGGAAATTCAAATTATCCAGCTGGCTGAGGCATGAGGGGTGGAGTTGAGGGTAGGGGAGGAAGGCAGCAGTTAGCAGGGTCTGGACCCCACCTAAGAGGCCTGCAAGTGATGGGGAAGCAAGTAAGTGACATGGTCAGTGTCCTGAGCAGCCTTTGAGAAGACCAGATAAAATAAAGCAAATGGGTGATCAGTTGGGGACAGTGTGGGAGCATGAACTATGGTAGTAGGGATGTTGATGGAAGAAATATACAGTACACAGGAGAGCTGAGGGGTGTCTATAGGGATGGGGGAGAAAGAAGAGTCAAGAATGAGAGTTTTGGTCTGGGCATGGTGGTGTGTGGTGGTGCTGTACATGTTTAGTATGAGGGACACATGTAATGGGGTGCAGGGTTGCCAGGAGAGGATAGGTAGCTTGGTACATATGGAGTTTGAAGTGCTTGTGATTCACCCAGGTGGAGCCCTGTGGGCAGCTGGACGTGAGGATCTGGTAGTGAGATCTGTAGGGTGGAGATTCACACCTGGAAGCCATTCTCGTGGAGCAAGAAGTGTGTGTGGGGGGTTGATAGATGTTAGAGAGGAGACGGGGGCAGAGAGTGGTCCACAAAGCAGATGGACAGCTGACAGCAGAGGAGCAGAAATGGAGAGTGTGGAGCTGTTGTGGGAGGAGGAGGGAGGACAAGGAGAAAGCTGTTTACAGAGAGGAATGCTATAAGTAAGACAGATCTCAGAGCATCCACTGCTTCTGAGACAGAGGTCACAGGGTGGGGACTTGGCTGTGGAGAGCAGAGTAGCCAAGGCTGGATATGGCGGCTGGACGGAAAGACAAACTGTGGAGGAGATCTTGAGTGGACATTACAGAAGGAGAAGAGAGGGTCAGAATGGAAGTCGGGGAAAGTAAATCAAGAGAGACTTGGAGAGTTAGAACTTTCACAGAAAGAAGGAAGGAAGGAGGCCAAAGCAGCAGGAGGGAGAGGGACAGTGAGAGTGAGCACCAGGTGCCAGAAGAGGCTGAAGCAGGGTGGGTTAAGCTCTGGATAGGGGGCAGGATCCTGAGGGCAGAAAGCCATTGAGGGTCTGGCTAGGAATAGTAGAGGGAGTGGAAAGAAGTAGGCAGATTTAACAAAGGTTTTAGTGGTAGCATTGAGGAGACCTGAAAATCCTCAGGCATGGAGAGCAAGAGAGATGAGAAGTCAGATAGTTGGGAAGCTCATAGCTGGGAGAACCAAGTGCATGAATAAGGCACTTTGGTAAAAGTGCACACTGGGTGCATGGGGTGTGTGTGTGGGGGGGTGAGCTACACTTCTGGCAGTGTCACATGGTGAACAACAGGCCTCCTCCATTTGCAGGTGGAGGAAATGGACAGGAGGGAGCTGCATTCACAGGGATGCAGGAGAGGTGTGAGGGTTGGAGATGCAGATTTGAGTCACTACCACTGGAAGTGGTGGCTAAAGCCATGGAATAGATGAGCTCCTAGGGAACGTGGGGGAGAAAGGAGGAGGACAAGAAGGAAGAAGAGGAGAAAATGGTGGGCCAGAACTCTGGGGGGCAATGGAGAGGTTGAGGAGGTTGAGGGGAAGGCAGAAAAGGAACTCTGAAGGGACAGAGAGGCTCAGGAAGATCAAAAAAGACCTCAGGAGAAGAAAGTTTCAGAAGCCACCATCCTTAGCATGTGTGTTTCATGTGAATAATGTAGATTATTCAGCCTCATGTAGTTCATGAGAATGAGTAGTTCTTAGCATATGCTTGGCACTCAGGAAACAAAACTTCAAGGCTACAGAAAGTCTCCTGAGCCTATGTCTTTTGCACTATATTTTAACCTGAGCCTATATCTTTTGCACTGGAGATTAGAGGTTGTTCTGGGGTGACTTTGACCTTGGGAAAAGCCAGGGCCTTCTATGATGTTGTCTCTGTCTCATATCTTATCCCATCTCCCCAGAAGGGAGAGGTGGGACACTTACTGCCCAGACTGCAAGAGGGGTCAGTCTCAGCGATGGAGTCCTCTGCCATAAGGAGCTCATACTGCTTGCTGGAGAGGAGAGTCAAGAATACACTTCAGCCTAGAATAAGTAGATTTCCCCCCAAACAGCTTTTTGAGAGAAGAGATTGATACTCATGCTGGGTTAGTTCTGGCTTTGGGCTTCTGGGAGTTAGTTCCTCTTTGTCTATGAATCATTTTCCTTATTTTGGTATTTATTATCCTTTTCTTTGCTTTCCTGGAGCCTCAGGGAGAAAATCCAGGAAACATAGTAGGAAGAACACAGGCGATTTCCACATCAGAAAATCCTGACTTTTTGCTCAGCCAGCAGACCACAAAAAGAGAAGTGTCATTGGCAATGATAGCATTCAGTGTGTCAAGGTGGATGGCAACCTAGGTCCCAAGTTGAGGTTGGCTTGGTCAGGGGTGAGGGTGGCCTCGATGAGTTGGCATCAAAGTATGAGCTGCTGCAATGTGCCTACCAGAAGGGCAAGGCAAGAAATGAAAGAATGCTTCTGGGAAGGGTATACTCTCAGAGGGAAGGAAGAAGCCTTTGCCAGCTTTGCTCAATGGTTTAGAATGATGCTTGGATCCCCAAGCCAGGATTTCCCAATGAATAATGACCCTGGTAGAACAAAGTTGTTGTTGGAGGTGGGAGAACTTGGGTTCTAACACCAGTCCTGCTATTTTCTAGGTATATACAAATAATACAAGTTATTCAGTCTCACAGAGATCATGATAAAAGCACCTCACAGGACTCTAGGGTGGGTTACATGATATAGTTCAAGTAAAACCATCATTATGAGTTACTATTATGATTACCTCTCCCCACTAATTGTTCTATATAGTACAGATCAGTGAAAATAGAAGTTTTGCAACTATAAAAGTATGATCTGAAAATGCTCATTTAATTGAAAGCAAAACATTTCTCTGATCCTGCCCGACTGGCTGACAATGTTGGAAAGCTCCCCGGAGGATGCAAGGGCAGGCTTGATCTCAGAATTTCTCCTGGGACCAGGAGCACTGGCTGCATCACAGCTTCTAGGGGGACTGCCTCTTCCAGGCGAGAGACTGGCGCACGTGTATCCCAGTGCCAGCTCCCTGCTAGTAAGATGCAGGAGCTCTGGGAAACTCAAGTAATCCCACCAGACCTCTCTTCTCATCTGTAAAACTAACATTTGATGACTTGAGTTTTTCCATGAGCTCAGTAAAGAGATCACAGTAATTCTTCAGTTACTGTTTAGATATTTAAAAAAATTCCATCCCATGTGCCACTATCCACTGCCTTTCCAAAACCATAAAAAGCAGAGCCCCATGAAGGTAAACATGTACTCCCACCGGGGACTGCTGCTTCATTGCAGAGGGGGTGACACTGCTGGAGGGAGGAGCAGAGTCCTCCATCCCCAGATGACCCACAGCCACCCAGGGCAAACAGCACACTAAAGACCTTTCATTTGGGAAGGATTTTTTTCTTTCCATGTTAGAAAAATCTACACAGGAGAAAATGAGGCTTGTTTAGAACAATAATTACAAGATTTTTTCAGGTAGTTTTAAGAAATGACTACTTTCACATTCTGTGGTACATACAAGATCACCAAAAGCAGTTTAGTTTTTTAAATAACCCCATAGCACATGACAACAGGCCTTAAGCATGTATTAGTAGTTCCGACAAAGTCCCCTCAAAGAACCTAAGAAAGAAACTGATTCTGGGGCTGTTGGTGGGAGAGCTGGTATTTGTGGAAAAAGAAGGATGAGTTGGGGCATGAGATCTCTAAATTAAGAGTACATGAGCTCGGCATGGTGGCACATTCCTGTAATCCCAACCACTTGGGAGTCTGAGGATTGCAAGTTTGAGGCCAACCTGAGAAACTTAACAAGACTGTCTCAAACTAACATAAAAAAGGCTAGGGATATAGCTCAGTGGTAGAGTGCTTGCCTAGCACAAATGAGACCCTGGATTAATCTCTA